CACTGAATGGAAATGAATTGAAGATGGAAGATAACAAAGGTATTGTACAGTGACAACCATTGTTCAAAATGTGCACATTTATAATCTTGAACTATCACTGCCCCCATCCATCCCCTTTAAATCACTGAAATTCATAGCAAACTGTCATATCTTACTAAAATAAATAAAAATCAAATCAAATTCAAAGCTTATCGAGTCCAAATTCTAACTATTTTAGCAAACTGTAAAGTGCATATGCGAAATAAATAAAAATACAACTAAACTCACATACATACATGTGTCAAAATCAGAATGTATACTCAAATCCATAATTTCCACTATGTTTGGCTCAAGGATTTTGGAAGGAAAAGAAAAGAAAATGGTTTTCTCTCATTTTCCTCACCAAAATGGAAGAAATTTGGTTTTCCCTCCACTTGGTACATTTTGACTCCTCATTTTCTTTTCCTTCTACTTTTCCTTTCTTTTCCCTTCTAACCAAACTAGAAAAATGGTTTTCCACTTCATTTTCTTTTCTTTTCTCTTTCAAATAAGCATAGTGTTCAAGCACTCAAACAGAGAAATTCCGAAGATACCAGGAACTGGGTAGGGACTAGTGGCATGCGTTTTCACATAATCCTCATTGTCCGATCCAAACAGATCCTTATCTTCACCTTTTCCCTCATTCTCGTATTTGTGATCACTGCTAATAACAACATTGTCAAAAGACCGCACTTCCCCATTGTCGTCTTCGTCTCTGTGGCTTCCGCTTCCGCTGCTGCTTCGGCTACTTCTATTGGACGATGAAGGCGATGAAGAGCCACCGGAAGTGGCGGATGAAGAGGAAGCGGCGGCGGAAGAAGACGAAGAAGACGATTGTGAAGCAGAAGACTGCTGCTGCTGGGGATGGTTTTGTTGCTCGTCGTTTGAATAGTTGTCCTCATCATCGTCTTCTCCGAATAGCTCAACGGCAAAGTTGGTGTTCATCCTCCGCTCCTCTCTATCTCCGATCAGCAGTGTGGCTTTGGAGGTCGCCGGAGAATCGATCGTTGTTGGGAGGTTTGGATGCCTAAAAATTGCAGGGGAGGGGAGATTCCGGTGAATGTAGAATAGGTTATTCCAAATTCCAATGCTCTCCTTCTAGTTCAGGTTTAATCTTGGGGATGGGTATTGGATATTTATTTTTTCAATTCAAGGTTAGATTGGAGTGGTTATGGTTAAATTTGGGTTTGAATACTTAGTAGTAGTAAGTACTCATTAAAAAAATTTTAAATTGAAGTACATTAAAATTTTAAATACGGCATAAAATTTAAGATATTAAAAAAATAATTATGACTAAAAATGACCCTTTAAAAAATTAAATAGTTAGTTTCAACTAATAGTATACGGAGTATAAAGAAAGTAACATAGAGAGTGCCAAGAGAGGTCTTCTTCTGGAGATGTCTTGAGTCGAGAGAAGTTCTAATAGCGTACATTTGTGTGGTCAAGGTTATGTGCGACAGAACAAGGACTAGGATAAAGACCGTCGGGGAGACTCTGAGCCTTTTGGTGTAGACGTAGGGTTGCACCAGGGGTCTGCCCTTAGCCATTTCTTGTGTTGCCCTGGTGATGGATGTCCTGACGCAAGGAGTTCAAGAAGCAATCGTGTTGGGTAGGAGAATGGGCAGACCTAGAAAGAACTGCTCAATAATGTACATCCTAGAGCTGCTATCAACTCGCCACTGTGCAGGCTATCGATTTTATCGCGCTGAAAGTATAGGGGAAGCTTGGGATTCACAAGGACATCACATCAAAGATGTAAGCTTTACACTTTTACCCCTTTCTGATATTGCTCCACATGCTACACATCTACCTCTTCGAGTAGATCGAGTGCACACAAGCACAAGATACCAAGTACCAACTAAGAGCTTATTCTCTTCTACTTTGATTGCGGAGTACTATTTACTTTAAACTTACTCTTATTGAAATCAAATAAATATTATCAAAAATAATTTTAAATATAACTAAAATCAGATCAAGTCTTAATAAAACCAGATCAGATTCAATGAAATCAGACGAAGAAAATATGCTCTGAGACATAAAAATACAAACTAAGACTCACATGTTTAGTCAGTTGATCCATACACAATAAACCATTTTTTTACAATTGAAGCCCTATGCCTTAGTTCAAGGTACTCTTGAAGCATAAAGAGTGACATTCAATAATGTTTCTAATGAATTTTGCCCACCCATATCCAGGGCTCAATGTACTTTATCAATCTAGAAACCATCAAGAGTGGACAAACACATATATCATGTTTCGTTCAGTTGTTGTATAAGACATGAAAATCGTTGAGAGAATAGCCCAACTACCTACTAAACCAGATGTTGGAGTGTGGTTAGTGTGTCGATCTTGGAGAAACATGTTCCCATGAGGGACTTGGAGAATCTCGGGCAATTGAGAGTGGAGGGAGTGAATTTGAGAGGTTGGAACACAATAAGTAGATAATTGCAAATTTATTGGAAGCAATGTACATTATGTTATAGAGAATATTTTTGTTTTTTCATTCACATTTTCTTGTATATTTTTGGGTTTTTGGCTATGTCATCCCAATATTTTTCATTTACTTTCTCTGGTGTTCGACTTGTATCCACAACAATATATGAGAATTCTATATATTGGATGGTAAATGATTATGGAAATATGAGTTAAGTATATGAAGCCTTTGTACATTTTTCTAACCTTGGGCTTTCCTATTTTTTTCCCTTTACTTTCTCTAGTGACGGGCTTTTATCCATCCAAGTATATATATATGAGAATTATATACTAAAATTGAATCGTAAATGTTTGTGAACAAATGAAATTATATGAATCCTTTGTTTATTGCTTCTAACCTTGGGCTAAATAGGAATATATTGTTGGTTTTGTTCTTAACTAAAGATAATAACAATAATATTTTGGAAAAATTACCCAAAATAATCCTAACTTTACTCGATCTTTCAAAAATAATCTCACCTTTCACTGTGATGCATAATAATCACAACTTTACTGAAATTTGCCAGTTTTGGGTCGCCATTAAGTTTCTAACAGGGGGTTAACGGAAATGCCCGTTTTAGGCAACAAAATGAAAGTTTGGATTATTTTTGATAAATTTTCATTTTTTTTTATTTTTTTAAATTTTTCATTTAAAATTTTTAAATTACTTTCTACCTCCATCATCATTTCTTTTTCTTTTTTAAAGATTAGTCTTAGTTTAAAAAATAAAAATAATAGATATAAAAAATGAAAAAAATGTGAAATGTAACTAAAATGATATAAAAATAATAAAATAAATAAGGTAATCAATGGAAACTAACTTGAAATTGGTAAAAGTAAAATAAAAATATACGGGTGGGTTTTAATATTTTACGCATTATACAAAGTACGGAGTATTAACATATCACTTCTTATTTTTTAGAAAAAAATTATCTACAATAATTCCAACTTTACCGGACGGCTTGTTCTTTTTAAAAAATAAGTAGTACATTAAGACTCCGTATAGTGTGTAAATTGTTAAAACCCACCACTCCGTATATATTTATTTTATTTATTACTAGTTTCTGTTTAATTTCTATTGATTACATTATTTATTTGATTAATTTTGTATGGTTTTAGTTATTTTCTCATTGTCATTATTTTTATATCTATTTTTTTTCTAAGGTATGAATAATCTTTAAAAAAGAAAAAGAAATGGAGGTTGAAAGTAATTCAAAAAATTTAAATAAAAATTTCAAAAAAAAATTAAAAAACAAAAATTCATCAAAAATAATCACAACTTTCATTTTGTTGCCTAAAACGGGCATTTCCGTTAACCATCTGTTAGAAATTTAACGGCAACCCAAAACTGGCAAATTTCAGTAAAGTTGGGATTATTATGCATCACAGTGAAATGTGGGATTATTTTTGAAAGACCGGGTAAAGTTGGGATTATATTGGGTAATTTTTCCTAATATTTTTATTATATTTCAGTTTAAATTGTTTTTATTCTTATTGTTTTTGCTATAGATGTGCATAATTTATTGCAATTATATTACCGTAATTTCATATGTGAAAACATCGACTTAATAATAAATTTTCCGTAAAAATTTACTCCGTAATTAGTATTTTTATTAAGTTTTTATATTACCAGAATATTTTTTTAATCATATTATTGTAAAGAATGTTTATATTCTTACTTAAACGTAATTATAATATTTTCATCATATGTTAGTTTAAATAATTTTTATTTTTATTATTTTTTGCGACTATTTATTTTTGAATTGTAACTGTATTACCATAATTTTATATGTGGAAACATTGATTAATAATAAATGTACCGTAAAAGTATAATTAATATTTTTATTAATTTTTTATATTACGAGAATAATTAGTGGTTTGGACTAGATAGAACCAAATATTCTTTTTCCCAAATATAGTCTACAAAGAAGAGATTATAAATAAAATTTTAGAATTGAGGAGTATTAATTTACTACGTAATATTTTAAAATTGTGAACAAAATATAAAAAATAAATTGTTAAAAAGATCATTTATAAAATTATAAAATTTGCGTTAGTAATAATAATGAGTTTGTCTTTGCCAAAGATCTCAAATACAGAGTAATAGTAAGTATGTCCTCACCAAAAATCTCTAGTAGAAAACAATAAACAATTTAATTATTTTATTTCAGCAAAAGATTTGATGAAATTATAAAAAAAAGAATATAATTCAAGGTTTTAGCCATAAAATGTAAATAAAGTAAAAAATGAGGAATATAGTATAGGAGAACAAAAGAGAAAAAGTGGACCCAATTTTGGTAAGGAAAAGTATGGCCGAACGGAAGATCCGGAAAAAAAGATTGCTTTCATTGAGAGTCGAACTCAAGACCTCCCGCTTACTAAACGGGTGCTCTAACCAACTGAGCTATGAAAGCTTCTCGGTGATCTCGTCATGCTTTATTTTAATTATACATGGTAAATGGAAAAAAAATGAAAAATGAACACATTTACTGATTTACCAAATTCTGCAATGCGCCGTTTCTGACACACCCCAATTTACCCTTTCGATCTTCTCGATCCTCTCCCCACGCAGTCTCCTCCTCCTGGCCTGAAATGAGTCGGAAGCAGAACGGCTCCGGGCCCACCAAGTGGGCATCCATGGTCCTCCTCATCATGGGTCTCATTTCCTGCATCGTCGTCTACGCTTTCATCTCCGCCGCCCTCACGCCCGGCGCCGAAAAGATCGAGTCTTTGGAGGAGGAGACCGGCGAGAGGGTCGAGGGGTGTTGCAGAGGGGTCGAGAATTTGGAGCTTTGGGGCCCCGCCGTGAATTGGGGTGCCGATTTCAAGCTCAATTCCTCGGCCGAGTGCTGCCGAGCTTGCCGGGCCATGTGTAGTAGCGGCGAGTCCGGGCCTTGTCTCTGTGATACCTGGGTGTTCTGTGGAAACCGGGAAGCCTGTGGGTCTAAATTTGGTGAGGTCTGTTCAGTTTTCTTTCTTTCTTTCTGGAATTCATTCATTTCTGCATTTCAGATTTTCGACATTGTTTAATTGTTCTCTGTGGGAGAATGTGACTTTAACAGTTTATGTAATCCATGTATATATGTAATTTCTTGAAATCCATATATTTAAATTCCAACATCTTGGAAATCAAATTCTCATTTCGAAGATTTGCCATGAAAAACAACCAATCTTTTGGGTTTTGGGGGCATGGGTTGTGCTTAAAGCTGTTTCGAAATGTTTATTTCTGGATTTACTTGCAAAGAAAAAAAGTGTCATTGCATAAGTATGTGAAGTGTCTTTTGATTCCCGTGGATTACGTAAGTCGCTAGAAAGGCTAAGGTTTTGCTTTCGGTCACCAATTGTTGTAGTGCTGGCTGAAGAAACAGCAAGATACCTTCAGACCGGATCGCCAAGAAGCAGGAAACAAGACCATGTGGACTTCCGGCATTATTTTTGGGAGAGGAAAGGTGTGTGTGTTCATTTGGCCATTTCCATAGTGTTCATCATAATCTTCATCTCCATTCAAAAACTTTCTTATACAAAGTACTCGGGTATTTTTTATACCACTCCAACTATATTATGTTGGCATATGAAGGATTTATGGTATTGATTTCATACTCTTATGTTAGATATCTCTTCCATTTTTAATCCTAAGCAAATGATGTTGCATAGATTAATGTATACCATTATCGAGAGTGTATACTCTTGAAGTACTCACTTCGTTCAAAAAAAACTTTCTACACTTCACTTTTTTGGACATCCCATTTTTTCCACTCTTAGTAATGAACACGTGAACATAATATTTCTCTCTCATCCAAACATATTCTAACCATACTTTTGAAGCACTCACCTCGTTGTGATTTTTAGGGTATTTGACTATTTATTTTTGTTCTGCCCTCCTTCTTAGGGTATTGTTGCCTTGGAAACGGAGCATGGCACTATTCGAGTAAAGGTATTTCTTTGTGTATATCAAAAGGAATGTCTTATATGTCCATTTTATATTTGGAAGGGTCTCTTTGAAACAACCAACCCAGTAAAATCCCACAAAAGTAGAGTCTTGGAACACAACTTTCAATTTTCAAACTTTTTTAATGCAATTTTCCGTTGTCTTAAAAAAAGATTCTCTCCCATCCTTTGTGTGAAAGAACATGATTTGGTGCAGCTTTTGCCCGAATGCTCCCCACACTCAATAATGTACATCCTAGAGCTGCTATCATCACGCCACTGTGCAGGCTGCCGATTTTATCGTGCAGAAGGTAGAGGGGAAGTTTGGGATTCACAAGGAAATCACATCAAAGATGTAAGTTTTATGCTTTTACCCCTTTCTCATATTGGTCCACATACTACTTCTCCAAGGTTTGGTCAAATTACTTACATGAAATTTGGAGTAAATGGTCCCTAATTACACACGGTCTTCCATATTTTAGTCCCGAATTCTAATATATTACATAAGTGATCCTCAATTCTAAGATTTTACTGGGTTATCAACAAACCCAGTAAAATCTCACAAAAAGTAAGATATGGGTGTGAGTGTAGAGAGCAAAGATAGAAAAAACACACAAGCACAAACATCCGACTAAGATATAAAAACACACCAGCTAAAAGGTCTAGCCAGTTACTCTTTTTCTCACTAAACTATTTTTTTATAACAATTTTTGTTTTTCAGGCGTCCTTCGGTCCACCCTATGCCTTAGTTCAAGGAACTCTTGAAGCCCAAGGAGTGGCATTCACCGACATTCCCAGTGAGTTCTGCCCAACCATAACCCGTGGCTCAGTGGCCTGGATTGGGTCGGGCCCCGAGTTCTTTATCAGTCTATCCAACCATCAAGAGTGGACGAACCAATACACCGTGTTTGGTTCAGTTGTAGCAGAAGACATGGAAATTGTTGAGAGAATAGCCCAACTACCCATCAAACCCGATGTTTGGAGTGGGGTTAGCGTGTCGGTCTTGGAGAAACATGTTCCCCTTAAGGTTCGGAGAATCGAAATCGCCCGCGGTTGAGAGTGGAGGGAGTGTTTGGATTTGGGAAGTTTGAACACAGCAATTGCCAATTTATCACTGGAAGTGTACATTAGGTTATACATGAGTAAATTCCAGCTGTGTGTATATTTTTGGGGTTTTTGAGTCAATGTTAGAAGCAATATCCACCAGAATATATGAGAATTATATATATTGTATTGTAAATGATTATGGACTGATAAAACTATATGAACCCTTCGTATATTGCTTCTAACGTTGGGTTTCCATATTTTTTCACTCTATTTTCTCCGGTGATGGACTTTTATCCACCGGTATATATGAGAATAATATACGGAGTATATATATATGAGATCGTAAATGAATGTGGATAGATGAAAGTATGAAACTATATGAATCCTTTGTACTCCTATATTGCTTCTAAGAATAGGAATATATTGTTAGCCTGGTTTCCTTTATATTTGAACCAAATGGTAAAATCCCCGTGTCTTTTTTTGTATTTTCTCAACTTGACATGACACGATTATTTAGACAAGTGATAAATGTAGTTGATTTTCCTAAAATGCCTTTCGTCAAATTCTTCTAATTCTAACACTTCTAACCTTGGTCTGAATGGGAGTATATTGTTGCTTTGGTTTCCTTATATTTGAACCAAATACTAAAATCTCATTTTAATATTTCATTGTATTGGCTCTAGCTTTTGATAAATGATAAATGAAGTCAATTTGGCGACAAGAAAGTTTTATTTTATCAAATTAAAAGAAAAAAAAGGAAAAACACATGCACACAGTCCATAGGTATCTACGTGTCAAATTAAAAGGAAAAAGGAAACATAGCTATTAATTCCCTCAAATTTAGTGACAGGAATATTTTATTTTATCAAATGATCACCGAAAACGTGTACAACAACAAAGTCTTAATCCACTAGGTGGAGTCGGCTACATGGATCAAACGACGTCATTGCGTCCTATCATGTATTCCTCCCGTCCAACAATAAAGTTCTCGTTCACTATTATGGTCAAACTTTATTCACTTTGTTGGATTATTTTCGTTTCCTATTTGATAAAATAATCTTGTCATGTCACATCTAGTTTTGTAGTTATTTTCATGTAGTTTTTGAAAACGAAATTTTTATTTTTTAATTTCGTATCATTTTACATACAAAATGATTTGAAAATAACTTCAATCAAACATCGTAACGTGCATCGAGAACTTCATTTATGGACGGAGGGAGACCTCGTTTGACATCAACGTTAGAGATTAACGTCAGCATTTTGGAAAGACTATCCGACGGTAGTTTTTTAGCATTTTCCAAATTAATCTATATCGTTAATTATTTTATCCAAGATACTAACGCTAATTGAAAACACTCTCCTCGAGCCATATACATATTCACCATTTGATAATTTTTAAATAACCTGAGGGGGGGGGGGCAAAATACTTGTGGCCTAAATGTAAGATTCAAAACTCTTGTGGCCTAAGTGTAAGATTCAAATAACTTTGGGGGGGCAAAATACTAATCGCCTATCGCCATAACCGCCCTTCAATTTAGTACTCGCTCTGTTCCCGCCACCGCGGCGGCGCTCAATTGCTCCCACAATCGCCACCGCAACCACCGCGCAGGGCCACCGTGGTCCGGCTTAGAACTCCCATAGAAATGGTTCAGTTTCACGAGCACATAATAACGGAACTCATCGACGACCAAAACGGCGGTTTAGTAGTCCTCTCCGCCGGCCTCGGCCTCCACAAACTAATTTCCTCGCTCCTCCTCCTCCATCACTCCTCACAGGGCTCCCTCCTCATCCTTTCCGCCTCTCCTTCCCAGAAGCAATCCATTGTTCAGAATCTCGAGATCTCCCTCCAACATGAAGGATCCATTGCCAGCACGAGCGGAGCTCCCAATTTCCCATCGGAGATTACTTCAGAGCTCCCCGCGCACCACCGCCTGTCGCTCTATACTTCCGGCGGAATCTTCTTCATCACTGCGCGTATTCTCATAGTTGACCTCCTCACTCACCGCTTACCCACTACATCCCTAGCCGGAATCATCATCCTCAACGCCCATTCAATTTCAGATATCTCCACCGAGGCGTTTATTGTTCGGATCATCCGTTCGACCAACAAGTCGCTCTATATTAGGGCATTTTCTGACCGCCCTCATGCCATGGTCTCCGGCTTCGCAAAGGCTGAGCGAACATTAAAATGCCTTTTCATAAAAAAGCTTCATCTTTGGCCTCGCTTCCAGGTTTTCCAATTGTTTCAGTTTTTGAGGATTTTATGTGCAATTATTTTTCACAGCAGTTTCATTTCGTTTGTTTATAAATGACTGCCTAAAGTTTCAGTTTGAGCAGAAAAGGCAGCTCTTTTTCTTGCTTTATGGATAAAACTTGGTGACTCACGTACCAGTAAAAACTAATGAAAGATATAATGTTTCATCACGATATCACAAGCCTTTGAAAGTTTTCACCTTTCTTTAATACTGGTATTATTTTACCAGAACTGTGAATTCAAAGAGTATGTATTCGTTCCCCTAAAAAAAAATTTAGTGGTTTTCTTGAAAATGACATTTTGGCTCTTAAATAGAGATTCTTCAAGTTTTACAAAAAAATTCAAAGTAATATTTACAAAGCGTGGCTACTAATGCATATTTTCTTTTCAGGTATATGTTTCACAGGATTTGGAGAGGGATCCTCCGGAGGTTGTTGACATTAGAGTTCCGATGTCCCCGTACATGGTTGGCATTCAAAAGGCAGTGCTTGAGGTTATGGATGCTTGCTTAAAAGAAATGAGAAAGACTAATAAAGTTGATGTGGAAGACTTGACTGTGGAGAATGGGCTCTTTAAATCATTTGATGAGATACTGAGAAGGCAGTTGGACCCTATTTGGCACACGCTAGGGAAGACCACAAAACAACTTGTTTCAGATTTGAAGACTTTGAGAAAGTTGTTGGATTACCTCGTTAGGTATTCAATTGTGTATATTCCTTTATCACTTTTCCTTGCAACACTTGTTGCTATGCCTCTATTCTTGAACCTAAGCATACCATGTTCTATATTTGAAAAGTTCAAGTTTTTTCAATTTGTAGACCTTTGTTTCTTTCGGTAATATCGATGTATGATGAAATAGATATACAGTGTTTGTGCTCATAACTTTGTTGATATTTTTGTGGTTTCTCCTTTACTTTGAATTTATTTAAACCGTCCTGTATTGGTTGTAAAGCATAACTTAAATTATATCATGGATAGGTATGATGCTGTAACTTATTTGAAGTATCTGGACTCACTCAGAGCCTCGGAGAGTTTCCGATCAGTTTGGATATTTGCAGAGTCTAGCTACAAGATATTTGAGTATGCTAAGAAGCGAGTTTATCATTTTGGGAGGTCAGATAGCGGACAAATGGCAGGGAAGAGTAAGAGTACTGCAGCTAGAAAGAGAAAAACTGGTGATGACAAGGACGAAGGTCTGCTTTCATTACTGGCATTACTGAAATTGACTTGAAACTTACTAGTTTCTTTGGGGTTTACTCTATCTCTGAGGGCCTCATCTAGAAATCTGTTCACTTATCTCAACTAGGAGTCTAGGATATGCTTTTTGTCTTTCCTTTTTTTAGATAAGTGAACGATACCATGCAAAGTGAGTTTTTGGTTATCCTTTTATCTGTTATATTTCGTTCATACGGTCATATCAATTGGCATCCACTGCCATCGGTGCTAATAGAGTCAATTTGACAATGCTTTAGCTTCAGGTAGATTATGGAGTAAATCAAAATGGTACATCAGACTTCCACGCCTTTTATATTCTCTGACTTTTGGGGTAGTAAATGCATCAATGGTCTAATGGAAACAAACTCTCTGTTTTTTACAAGGGTAAGGTTGCACACATCTTGACTCCATACCCCAACAAAGTTGGGATTATACTAGGCTTGTTGTTGTTGTGGTCATACCCATTGATCAAACGCGTTTGAACTGTCTTGATCATATATTCTCTGCAGTTTTCGTAAGCTGCTTGTACTTTACCTCAGTATAATAATTTTACTTTGTGTATTTGTGCGCCAACATATCATTCTCTGTATTCTCATCTTAATTGCAGCCAAAATGTCAATGGAAAGTAGAAAAGCTTTTAAAAACCAGAAAGGGAAAAGTAATTGCATAGTTGTTCTAAGTTCTCTTTGACATTTGTAAGGTTTAGTAACACTCACACATGATCTAAGTATTACTACCTGTTCCCCTTCAGATTTCAGGAAAATGTCAATTTATGCTTTCTCTTGTCATTTTCTGGTCTTTTGCATTTTCAGATTCATCAGCAAGTACAAGTAACAGAGTATTTTTGCAGGAAGTCTTAGAGGAGGAACCAAAATGGAAGGTTTTACGTGTGAGTAAGTTCCATTTTTATTTCAAGGGCATTAGTTAGTTGTTTGGTAATTTGTCGCAATGTTACCAACTTTGTTCTGTCAAATGTACATTTGATGATATTATTTTCACCTAGTTTTCTAAGCTTATTTTTCTCTGCTTTGTTTGCTGCAGGATGTTCTATTAGAGGTACAAGAGGAAAGAGAAAAGAAAGCTACTTGTAGTGGAGATGAAATAGCTGCTCAAGATGAAGAGATTGACAATAGCATTGTTTTAGTGGCTTGTAGAGATGAGCACTCATGTGTGCTGCTTGAGAGCTGCATCACAAACTGCCCTCAAAAGGTTTTTTTTTTTGCATTGTCATGAACTGTTTCCTTCAATTTATTTTACCTTGTCTATGGATAATAGGATTTCATTTGAAATACTAGATTTGAGTCAAACTTTATGCCTGGGGATTCCAAGAATTTCAGATTTGATTTTGACTCAAACCACATGTAATATTTTAAACTCCTTCTAAAGTAGATGGAAATTGAATTCCTACATTATACTCCGTAAGTTCTTAAATTGAGTTCAAGAAATTATAGAACTTTTATGCCAGTCTCCATGGCAGTATACTGTCAGTCTGTCGTGTGTGTGCGTGCGTGTGTGTGTTTGTGTATAAAAAACTCATTTTCATTTTACAAAAGATGGTGCTCTTATTATGTAGGCCATGCGAGAACAGTGGGAAAAGTATCTGCTTAGCAAGGTAGAGCTGCAGGCTTTACCAAAACATACCAAAAAGAAACCAAAACAATCCAAGGGTTTTGGGGTGCTTGACGGAGTTGTCCAAGTTGCACCTGTGCAAAAGGCAGAATTCAGTACTGTATGCAAACAGGAAAATGATGCCTTACTAGAAATGGCATCAGAAATTAGTAAGAAAGCCAATAAAGCTCTTGAAGAAAGTGCTCCAACACCCATGGAAAGGGGAAAGGGAAAAGGAAAGCAGAAGAAGATAGAAACCGGTCATAGAAGTTCCTGCGTGAATGAAGAACGGTTGAATGATGCATCAGTTAATGAAATATTGCTTCAAAAGGAAGGGAAACCTGCAGATGCCGAATCTTTAAACAAAACCAAACGGCTTCCACCTTTGCACTTTCATGCCCTGGAGAGTAATCAGCATATACTTGACATCTTGAAGCCTTCTGTCATTATCGTATACCACCCCGAGATTTCATTCGTGAGAGAGATTGAAATTTATAAAGCCGAAAACCCATCAATGAAAGTGAAAGTATACTTTCTTTTCTATGAAAGTTCTACCGAGGCCCAAAAGTTTGAGGCAAGTGTACGGAGAGAAAATGCTGCATTTGAATCTTTGATAAGGCAGAAATCAATAATGATGATCCCGGTTGATCAGGTTTTCCATAGTAATACTCGTCTTTCTTTCAAAAGTTGAATAACAATATTTGATCTTCCGTTCATTTGCTTCGTTATTTTCTCAGTTGGTCTATTAGCTTTACTTGGAGATCTAGAATTAGCATAAATAAGAGCACATGGAGATCTAGGGTTAGCTTTAATTAGGCTTGGCCTTAGATAGAAGCACTTGCAGCTTGGAGATCTTGAATTAACGTAGTTGGGTAGACTTATGGGCCTTAGTTTCTATTAGTGCATTTTCATGCTTTAGACTGTGGCATGTGCTTGTGTGTGTGTTTTTGTGCTTTATGTCTAGTTCTTAGAGTCGGATTGTGTGCTTCTCTTTGTCAATGCTCGCACTTCTTTCGTGCTTCAGTGGTTTCCTTTGTATTTCTGTATCTGAGTTTCTTGGAAACAACCTCTCTAATTCATAGTACAGGTATGGTTTGTGTACACACACACCCTCCCCAGTCCCTACTTTTGTGGGATTCCACTGGGTTTGTTGTCGTTGGTCTATCAGCTTTACCTTGCACTTGAGGCGGTCATTATTCATCATAACCTTAATCTTGACCTTGTTGGTGTATGTGGCATGAAATATAGGGTCTGTTTAGAAAGGTTATTTCTCTGGAATGGCTGGATATGCTGAATTCTTTCAAATGAAAAGAATTTGGCAATATCCATTTCACTCAAGTAAGTCAAAAGCTACTTATTCTGTGGATAAGACTACCAAATAGAGCTTAATTAATCTTCTACATTAAACTAGCCATAAAATAAAGCAAATAACTCACAATCTTGCTGTTTGGTTACCTTCCTTGTAACTTATGTTTTTCCTTTTTTTTGGTTTTTAATCAGGACATGCATTGTACTGGACTAGAATCTTCAGCTGACGGACAGTCTATTCTTTCTCAGAATCTGATAACCAGAAAAGCCGGTGGTAGAAAGGAGGCACAGAAGGAAATGCAAGTATGTAAATTTGGATATCTCACACCTACAGATATTCGTAGAGTCTGTTTGGGAATTAGTGAAGTGAGAAGGAAATAAATTGAGGATAATAAATATAAATTTAGGAGGGAAAAAATTAGAGAGAATTTTTAAAATTGGTTCAAAGTCATTTTCCCATCATATTTCAAGGTAAAATTGAGGTGATTATAGTCATTGGAAAGGATCTACGATTTCAGGATCTTAGTGAGTATATGGTCTTTGATATGAATGTTCAGAGATCTAGGATTAGAGTATATGGGTAGACCTCTGAGCCTCATTTTGTAGCTTATGATGGTGTGATTTTTGCCTTAGTCTGTAGCTTGTGCATGTCTTCTTTTTGTGCTTAGAGTAGTGTTGCTAGTGTCAGTATGTGTGTGTGTGTGTGTCTTTGCTCTTGTTCAGTTCGAGCTATTGTGTTTTATTTGTGCGTACTATTCTGTTTGAGTCGAGGGTCTTTTGGAAACAACCTCTATACCGTCAATTATGGACAAATAGGGGCAAGGTCTGCATATACACACCCTTATGGTATTCTATTGGGTTTCTTGTTGTTATTGTTGTATTTCGAGGTAAAACCAAACATAAAACATCAGTTTCATTATCTTTTTCTATGGCCCAGTACATCCACAATGTAAACAAAACCAAACACACCCAAGATATCACACATGGAAGTAAGATCTGAGAAGGTTAGATGTATGCAAATTATCCCAAAATTTGACTCACATACATTATGGTGACAACAGGTGATTGTGGACATGAGAGAGTTCATGAGCAGTCTACCCAATGTTCTCCACCAGAAAGGAATGCGCATTATACCGGTGACCTTGGAAGTTGGAGACTATATACTTTCTCCACTGATTTGTGTAGAAAGAAAGAGTATACAGGACCTCTTTGGCAGTTTCGCATCTGGTCGCCTTTTCCACCAGGTGGAGATGATGTTGCGATATTACCGGATTCCTGTTCTTCTCATTGAGTTTTCACAAGACAAGAGCTTTTCATTTCAGGTATCAATATGCGTCCCTCTTGAGGGACTGGGTACCTTTGTTTGGTTTCAGAGAGGAGGAAGGAGAGTGAATGAGGTCTTATAACGAGTACATATTCATATTATAATATATTTTTATGTGAAAACATTCATGTTTCTTATATGAATCTCCATACCAGAATTTACCCTTTTTTATATAAGCCTTGTTTGGGAAGACCGTTTTTCATTAACGTTAGTGTTTTAGACAATTTTTTAATGGTTCAGATTAACTTTGAAGTTTGAAAATGCTAAACCTAAACAATGTAGATAGCTTTTTTTAAAACACTGAAGTTGTTGTCAAACGGACAGGGAGTTGTGTCTAGTGCCTTTTTCATTTATTTGAATCTTGAATTTTTTGGTTTCAGTCTGCTGGGGAAATCGGTGATGACGTGACGCCAAACAGCATTATATCAAAGCTATCTTTGCTTGTTCTCCATTTTCCACGGCTCCGCATTGTCTGGTCCCGCAGCCTGCATGCCACTGCTGAAATATTTGCTTCCCTGAAAGCTAATCAGGATGAACCCGACGAGGTCAAGGCAATCCGAGTTGGTGTTCCTTCAGAAGAGGGTGTTATTGAAAACGATGTCAGGTACCCATCACATGATTGATAATCATATCTTCTGATACACTCGGGTACTATATATGATCCTCTTTTAGGCCATGTTTGGTTTTAGGCTTTTGGGATGTCTTTGGTTATTTTGACTGGTCAAACAACCAAAAAAGAGTGTTTGTCATTTGGCTTTTGAGGTTGGCTATTTGAGTCCGAAAAGTCAAAATATGAAAAACTATGGGAAGTAGTCTTCGAGTTTGACTATTTGACCCAATTGAATATTTTTATTATTTATCCTTGTATGTAATTTTTTTGAACAAATAAAAAAATGATTATTTATTGCATAAATACATAAATAAAATTAAACATATAGATTAATAATAAATACTCCCTCAAGTAAAATTCACGGAGGGATTTACAAAAAAAATATTTTTTGATTTTTTATTAGAATTAGTATGGAAATTAAATCATATATTTAACAACTACATCAGAAGTCTTCAAAACAAAAAAAATATATATGATTATACTCCGGATTATTTTATCGAATGATCGATAAAATACAAATAAATAAAAATTATTGACTTTAGAATAGTACCTTAAAATTTCATTTGAGGAAAGAAGAAGCACATATTACGTAGCATATCATATAATTATAATACTCGTATAATTTTCAACAGGCAATCGCCATCTTCCAAACAAGGCATTGTTTTGCATGCATCTAGGAATATTCCAAATTTTATAGAATTATATGTGTACCCTTATTCTAAAGTTTAATAATATGCATTTTTGTTTCTTTTTGAGCCACAGTTTAAAGTTTATGGTGGTGCACTTTTGCCCTAGTCTGTAGCCCGTGGACGTGTGCTTTCTGTGTTTTGGGTTTATTGTTAGTGTCCGTTTGCATGTTTCATGTTTCTGTGCTTTTGTTCACGCTATTGTGTTTCTTGGAAACAGCTTTTCTACTCCTAAGTAGGGATGATGTCCACATACACATGCCCACTTTTGGGACCCTACTTTTGTGGGATTATACTGAGTTTTTTTTTTGAACAGAGCGGAGAACTACAACACGTCAGCGGTGGAATTCTTGAGACGACTCCCGGGAGTGACAGAGTCAAACTACAGAGCCATAATGGACGGGTGCAAAAGCTTGGCAGATCTCTGTCTCCTCCCTGTGGAGAGACTTGCTGAGCTTATGGGCGGCCTCAAAGCTGCCAAAACCCTCAGGGATTTCATTGATGCCAAATACCCAACCTTGCTTTAGCTCTCACTCTCCCTCACATTGTTTCTTCACAACTCTTCATCAAAATTTCGCCCCCATCGTTGACAAAAATGCCCCCGCCCCTCCTTTTTTTTTGAAAAATGCTAATTTAACTCTAGATTGTCTCTGATAAGCCATCCTCTATGAAACACCGGTGGCTTCAAATTCAGTGTCATCCGTGGTGTGACGGTTACTGTTTCATTTTTATCCCAACTCTCCCTCACATTGTTTCTTCACCATTCTTCATCCAAATTTCGCCTCCATTGTTGACAATAATGCCCCTAATTTAACTCTAGATTGTCTCTGGTAAGCCATTCTCTATGAAACACCGGTGGCTTCAAATTCAGTGTCATCCGTGGTGTGACGGTAACCGGACCTTTTTCATCCCACCTCTTGGCTTCGAGCGTTTGACCGGGCACAACATGAAAATCACCTCTCATTGGGAGTTTGATTGGTATTAGCAACTCTAAATCAGGTGCCCCAGTTTAAGTGATTCTTAATAATTGTTTAATTGTAGAATTAATAGTAACAATAATAATTATCCATTTCCGTCCTGTTACAAGTTGGAATATGACTTTCTTCTTGGGGATGGAGGGACTGTATTTTATGAAATGAACTTGTGGCTTTTATCATTTTGCTCGAGCGTGGGCTGGCACTAATGACTTACTAGAATAGTCTTATATAGAAGTGGTTGACACTTCCCGTATGTGGGTCTAAATCCAATTCGAAGTTTCCACTTAATAATCTACTTAAAAAAATAAATGTAGCAAGCAAAAATCAAACCCGGGACCTTCATGTATGCATTTGAAAACACTTTTAATTATTTAGAAAATTAAAAAATGATATTCTACTTGCTAAGTAAATGTGAAGTTTGTGTACACACATCCTTTTAGACTCTACTATCTGCAGTGTTTAATTGATCAGTTATTGTTTTTTATCATTTTTAAATTTAAATTACCCACTTTTTTATTTGTCCAATCTTTTTAATCAACTCTACAAGATCAAAGTGTAAAGATTATTTTAAAATGGGGAGTGTGTAAGTCTTTTTGGGGATGACATTATTCAATGTGAAACTTTACAATATAACATGCTCTTCAAGTATAACAATGATCACATAATTGTAAAAGAGATTGTTAGTTAAAATCCTACAAAATCAATTTTTTCTAAAGTGGTATAAATTTGGATGAAACTTATCCTTTAAATATATACACATTATAGAGTAAATGCTATGGGTATGCTTTTTGGAATCAATCCAAAAAGAGTAAAAACTACAATTGTTTCAACATAAAATTAAACAAACAGATCGCAAGAGAAAGTATGAACCTGCCAAATGGATCATTGATCATTCATAGGCCATAGTGACCTGTTGACAGTTCAAATTAGGTAAAGTCACAGTCAGTAAGCAACAGGATCCGTGGCGCAATGGTAGCGCGTCTGACTCCAGATCAGAAGGTTGCGTGTTCGATTCACGTCGGGTTCATATTTTGAATTTTTTTTCCCTTTTTCGCTGGTTTGAACAATGGGTCAAATCCACAAATAGTTAGACTCTCCTAGACCGCCCGAGACGAGACCATCGCGCTACTCGAATCTCTCCAATCCATGGAGGTTGCAGCCATGGCTTCAACCGGCTTTCCGGCGGCGACCCGGCTGATGCTCCCGTCGAAACGACCGGCGTCAATGAATTTATCCCCTTCTCCGTCCAGAGTATCTCTCTCCACAACATTTTTCTCTCCCTTCGCCGGCGGCAGCTTAGTTTCTGATTTCTCCGGGCATCACAAGATAAAACCGGATTCACTTCACCCGTCTGTTTCCATCTCTCGCCCTAAACGTTCGGTTGTCACTATGGTATCTCCTCCTGGAACAATTGCTTCATGTATTCCTCAGAATTATCCTTTTCGTTTGTGGTTAATTGAGCAATTATTATTGAGTTATGTGCCAATTTCCTTGCATAATTTATAGACAGAGGAAAAATGGAAGTGGGAAGATAGTTTAGGGACACAAGGAGTGTTACTTTAGATGCTCTGTCAAGAATGCCCAGTTAGTTTAGTACTTGTATTGGTGGTGGGAACCAAATAAAGCAATTGGGGATGAGACCATTTTAGGGGAAATGTTAAGTTTTGTTTTTCCTGCAGAATTTGACATGATTGTTTCAGATAGGATATAAGAAAGAGAAACTCTATTTAGTTAAAAAGTGTGTATGAACTGCAAGCAGAAATGGTATGATTTGTTGAATTAAGGCAGTGATGGGGTTGTGCGGTCAAGGGACTCACCTGACACTTTCATGTGTTTGGGCTCAAATGCTACAAACATTCTGTGGCAATTTGACCTTTTCGATTGTTGAGAAAATGTTTGTACAAAGAAGCACTGGTGAATGTGATCACAAATTGCCAATTCAATCCATTTATTCCTCACTGTTAGCTGTTGCTCATTGTTTGGTTGGCTTATTCTCATTTACCACTATATGTGCCTAATCTAGGAAGCGTGAAGAGTATCCGACTTTGATTTGCAACATTTTCTAAACAGGTCATTCCTTTCACGAGGGGAAATGCTTCAACCCAACCTCCTCCAGATTTAGCATCTTACTTTTTTTCAAACCGAATAGTTTATCTGGGGATGTCTCTGGTTCCTTCCGTGACTGAATTAATACTAGCAGAGTTTCTGTACCTTCAGCATGAAGATCTAGACAAGCCAATTTTCCTTTATATTAATTCCACTGGGACAACTAAGGTATGTCATTGTGGATTTATTATCATTTCTTTGTGAGTCACTCCATGTTTGAATAGATGCAATTATCACGTTCACTTATAATTTTGACGTCCTTTAGACAAAAAAGGATCTGATCATACTTGAATCCAGTTAACCCTACTGGTTAAGAACTTCCAAAATTGTCTGCCATTATGATGGACATACATATTGTTTGAATAGCTGTTTTCGTATTAGCTAGGATAATTTTTTCGAGCCTCTTTTCTCATTTAGTGTGTTTTCACATTTAGAGACGTATACACATTTGTTACGCAGGGCGATCAGAAGTTGGGATATGAAACAGAGGCTTTTGCAATTTATGATGCAATGGGGTTATACATCTTTACCATATTATCCAATATTTTCTCTTTTCAATTTTCCCACTTGTAACTACACAAAAAGCTCCATTCCATGTTTAACTTTAAAAAAAATCTAAACATATTGGAAACACTATTTCCGGTTGCAGGTTTGTCAAGCCACCCATTTTCACCCTTTGTGTAGGCAATGCTTGGGGTGAAGCTGCTTTACTTCTTGCAGCGGGCGAAAAAGGAAATCGTGCTGCCTTGCCTTCATCTACAATCATGATCAGACAGGTTCTCAAATTTATTTATTTACTAGTTTTATAATAATTTGAGAAAGATAAGAAAATGGAATAGCTATAGTAAAAGTTACAACTTAAATCATTAATTTAAAAAATTAATCTTTTCCATACATGGAATTAATTCAATCCATAAATTTTCTTAAATATGATATTCACATCTATTGAGTGATGAAAGAAATGAAAGGTTTACAGTAAAATGTAATTGAAAAAATTGGCCTTAATGGAAGTTAATTTTAACAAATCATTTATGTTAGAGAATTAAGATGTGAAGTACCACTAAATAAACAGATCTTTTTTTGAAATAGAGACATCCAAATGATTACAAATATTATAGACTTTTTGTTGGATATCTAAAAAGTATATTATAGACTTTTTGTTGGATATCTCAAATTTCCAAGTTATCGTGGGAAAACATTAATCAATGAAGTTTAATATAGTTAGATCTTTAAATTCTAACTAATTTATTTAAATGACACATTTGTCAGCTAAATGTGCCATTTTTTAAATATAAAAAATTTGCCGAAAATGTTTTGCCTGGATTAAGTTCAAGATCAGAATGGCTTATGTCTGACCTTCTATACACACTTTTGAGATTCCGCTTCTGGTCCAAAATAATGCCGGATCATAATTTTCAGAAAGTTAAGGGAAGATTAATGCATTTGTTTCTGTAAGACTGTAGCAAACCTTGGGTTATTCTTGGCAACATTACAGTTTGCTTTTTTTGGAAAACTATCCATACGTTTATTGTTTAGATGTGTCTGATTGTGTGTATGTGTGTGAGTGCGCGTGTGTGTAGTTTTATTGTGTATTTGCCTTTACTTTCTCAACTACGAGTATATTTTTTATTTAATTGGATTAAAGGGTAATTATCTATTGCCTGGCTCTATATCTTAAGACGCATTATCTATGCCTCTATCTATATGTCTCCCCACTCTAATATGATATATGAAAGATCCTGTTGTAACACTAGTGGAAAATAGAAATGCTTACGTACACGTCTTCTTGTATCTGCAGCCTATGGGTCAGTTTCAGGGCCAAGCAACAGATGTGAATATAATGAGGAATGAAATGAAGATTTTGAAAGCGGAGTTGGTAAACTCTTATTTTATTTTCAACTAACATCGGCATATTCCTTGAAAAACGAATTCATCTATTTTTGCTACGTGAGACAAACACTCTCTTGTATTGCTGCTATAACTTTGAAATGTTAGCTGCTTTTGCATCGGCACTTATATTTCATTTTTTTTCTATTTTGAAGGTGAAACTCTATTCCAAACATACAGGAAAATCACCAGAACAGATTGAAGAGGACATAAGCCGTCCAAAATATTTTAATCCGACTGCAGCAGTTGAATATGGAATCATCGATAAGGTGCTTCCAATGATCATACCCTCTGTCAAAAAAAAGAAAGAGTTGTTTCTATAGAGTTATGTTTACGTTTCAACAAAAGTAACTAATGCTCATTGAACTTTGTAATTTTTAAACATGAGTTGTAGGGTTAAATATGACATCTTGAGATCTATGTTTAGAGTACCTAGATAAGCTTTCGGCATTAGTTTGTAGTTTATGATGGCGTGTTTTTTGCTTTAGTCTGTAGCTTGTGTATTTTTTGCTTTATGTGCTTTGAATCTTGTTGATAGTGTAGTATGTGTGTGTATTGTGTCTCTGCCTTGCTTAGTTCGTGCTGATGCATTTTCTTTATCCGTACTATTATGCTCGAGCTGGGGTTTCTTGGAAACAATCTCTCTAGTCTCTACTGTCAAGTAGGGATATAGTTTGCATACACAAACCCTACTAAGACCTTACTTTGATGTGATTCTTCTAGATTTATTGTTGTAACCGAACATGAGTTATGCACATATGAGATTCTCATACTCATGCCTGATACGCGAACCACATGGGACCCAAGTAGGATGGTTAATATAGAATAGCTGTACATTTTGAAATTAAAAAAGTTTTACTTTGATGGAACCCAATTCTTCTTCTTTTTAAACAGAAGCAAGAGACTACTTTATTTTCTTCTTCTTCTTCTTCTTCTTTATTGTTGCTTACGTTTTGAAACCATATTTTGAAGGTTCTTTACAATGAAAAGAGCAAAGAAGACAGAGGCGTCGTGCAAAGAAGGCATGATTTGTCTGCAAACTGACATTTCTCATGGTGGGTATCAAGGTACTGTTCATTACTTCATTTCACCATCTTCGTTGCTGTTTTCTTACAGATGTAGAATTTCAGGTAGATTTTTGAAGTGATAAAATGCTAAATTCTACCAGGCGCGACGTAAGTTTTGACCATCCACCATTCACCTGCAATTTCGCGCAAAAGCCGATTTGATGCATTTGTATTGGCCTGCATACAATCTTCACTGTGTTGTGTATTACCATCATGATGCTGTAAGATTCACTTTTTCCTTTTCTTTTGGGGGGTGGGAGTAACAGGTTCCTGTGGCTTCATTTCACCAAAATTTGTTGCAGTTAGTTGAACACAATTCAATCCTTTTTAAAAATGTTTTGGTTCTTGAACATTGGAACCACATGTCATCGACTCATCGTATGACATGGGTTCCATTTGGAGTACCTATCATGCTCCGTTCGTAAAATTGACGGTTTTTATCTCCTAATCTCAAGTCAACCCTCTCACCCCGCCTCGACCCGAACTCACCCTCTTCAATTGCATTTCCCAAAGTTAGTTGATTTTGAGGTCAATTTTTTGACTGCACAGAAAATTTACCAAGAGTAAGAAGCGTCAATTCTATGAAGAGCACCGCAGGATGACATTGATAATCAATATCACTCGAACCCGGCCCGCAAAACTAAAAATACTCCTTGTTTAATACTCCGTAATGGATTTTAACATTCATTTTAAGTATGAGTAATACTGAGGCCCAACATTGTTTTATTGGATTTCGAAGTGGGTCTCTTAAATGCCTGCCCCTAAGACCCCAAAAATCATATGCATTTTATTTGTCATCATTTAAGTCATCGTTTGTCAAAAACATTTTTAGTACTAAGGCTATATTCTTCTCAACTTATTTTTTTTACTTATCACTTATTATTACTGAAATCAGATCAGAAATAGTTTTAAATATAATTACATTTAGATCAGATAAGACCAGCAGATCAAAACAATAAGATCAGGTGAAGAGAACATGATTTAAATCGTTTACTATATGACTTCGATACTTTTTCCTTAACATGAAAAATCCCACTTTTGAATTGACACATAAATTAAGAAAAGTAAAGTTTTATCTTTGAAAGTGATGCATGGAAATAAAGAATTATGAGGACTATAAATTTTTCTTTTAAAAGGGGAAAATGAAACCTTTTTGTAAGACGGAGAGAGTATCAAAGGAAAAGGCTCCCCCCTAATTATACTTTATTTTATTGTGGAGGAATCAATACCATTTTCTGATGGAATAGAATGTGATATGATTAGTAGATTAATAATGAATGTGTATGACATAGTAATAGATAAGTTAATACTTCATATGAATAAATAAATAATTTTAATTGAAAGAGAATTGTTTTTTGTTGGATTGATGGAGTGTTCCATTTTGAAGAACATAAACTTCATAAAATTTAAAATTTATAGTAATAAAATCTGCCACAAGATAAATCCTAAATCTCTATCAAAGTATAAAGTTAGAACATATGCCTCACAATTCCATCAAAAAAGAAAGATTTATTCTTTTTTCTCCTATGGTGCAAATTTCGTGTATAATCAAAATCGCATTTATCAATTCTTTACTCAATTGATAACAATACCAATTCATTCATTTTTTTGAGATATTGAATCACAAAAATATTTAATTATAAAAATTGACGTTACGCTCCAAATCAAATCGAGTTCTCGTATGCCAACAACTTTTTTTAGAACATCAGCATTTTAAAAAATATTTAATTAAAAAAATCATTTTAAAGCATAGTTCAATTAAAAAATTACAGTATTTTACAACATTAGAAATTTTCTTCTCCCACAAAAAAAAAAAACTCCTATTGCGATTCGAACTTATGATCTTCATTTAAAATGGCGAGAGTAAAATTATAAAAAGCAGATGAAATCAAAATGTAACTTTTCTTGAGGATAAGTTGCAAAAATACACTTTCGCCGGTAAATCCGATTTCATCTTCTTGCCGCCGCCGCCGCCGCGTATCACCGGCATATTCATGGCGTCGTCTGCAGGAATGGCTTCATCCATAACCCCTCTCCCGCCACCCATTTCCAGCTCCCGACCCGATAAAACCGGGTGCGGATGCCCGAGACAGTCCACAACAACGGCCGTAGGATCTCCATTGGGAGGTCCCGGAGATCCCCTGACGACGGTGGAAGTTGTGTACCGTACTGAATTTCAAAGTGCTTCTGATTTGGAGGAGGATTGCGACAATCTAGGGTTTTCTAGTCCCCAAATTGTCAAATTTTGTGGCAGTGTGCATGATACTGTCAAAAATAAGGCTCGAATAAGCGAGTGTTACAATGTGGATGGATCTTTGAAGGGTGATGATACTGATGAACCTCCATCAAAGATAACTATGAATTCAAATGAATCGGGAAAAACATGTGAAAATTCCAGAAAAATCTCAGGGAGCAAGAGAAATGAAGATATTGAGCAGTTCAAGTATGTCAAGTGTGTTGATGATGATGAACACAGAAGAAAGAAGAGAAATTTCATTTTGAGGAGGCCGAATTCGCCATTGTCAATGAAGTGTGTGGAGAAGAGAGTGAGAGGGGAGGAAGAAGAACGAAGTGTGGGTATGAAAAATGCATCGTTTAACGACTTGGTGGGGGCTCTGCAAGTGGTGCTTGGGAAGGAAAGTGATGGTGTCGGTTTGCTGGAGACCGCTAAGATGAGAGGTTGGGATTTCCCACGGCCTCGGTGGTGGCCACCTGAAGGATTTCAAGATTAGCTTTCCAAGATTCCAAGTCATGAAAAAAATTTGCAGCTTTGGTTTGATCTTATGCATATAATCATATACTAATGCCTTGTGGTTTTCTTGAGCATAGACTTCTTTTGGTGATGCAGATGAAACGGTTCCTTTTTTTTCTTACTTTGGATATACATTATGAAAATGGTGGCCACTAAGATCAAGAAATACATTATGAAAATGGTGGTGCTAAACTGCAATTGTGTTTTCATCACCTTGTGGTAGGCTTGTATGTAACATGAAGTTTTGTTTTCTGTTCTTTGTTAGAACAAGTAGGAACCTTTTTGTAAATACTGCTGCCTAAGCTATCTGTAATCAGGTGTGTGATATGATATCTGAATATGACTGCTATTAATCTGCTTCAATTGTATATGCCAAGTTTGGCATTTTTGTGGGTTTTAATTTAGTACTCTGATATAACATCATGGTTCTTTTGACATAAGTTTTGGATGTTAGATTTTGACACCAGGACTCTGGAGTGCTTCTTTGGGCCTCGGGTGGTTTCTATCCTCCCTAACCACACACAAAGCCCCCTACCCACCCCAGTCCCCCCAGTGGGGGAATTAGGGGGCCAGGGGTCCATCGTAAGGCCCTCAAATCGCCGGTGTCATAATATGACACCTCAGGTAGGTGTTTAAATATTACACGCAAGTGCTTTTATTCAAAATTCAACACTAATAGCAATACCAAACGGGCCCTAAGAGAAGGGTTTTTCATATTATAGTTGTGAAGGGAATGAATGGTAAACCTCCCCACCCCAACACTGCATTTACATTTACATTTTTACAGCTCTTGATATCATACAGTGCTAGTCATCATCCTATACAACAGAAGATCCCACTAGCATCCATTCTATTCCCTAGATATTCAAAATTTAAAGCAATTTAAAAATCAAAGGGCATGATCATGACAAAAGGGTGCACCAAAAAAAAAAAAGATCCCATAAGAGTAGGGTCTACAGGGTGTGTGTCAACGAAGACCTTACCCTACTTGAAAGTAGGGAGACGGTTTCGAAGAGACCACGAGCTCAAAAATGACAAAATAGTGCACCATGATCACCAAATTTGCCCCTGGATAAGTTGTGCAACATATGCAATGAGTGGTGTCTCTTAGTTCATGGGACAGGCAAGATTGCAGTGGTACACTGAGGTACAACTAGGGCTTGCCTGATGAGAAAGGAAGCTGCTAGGGATTGGAAAAAAGAGTTCAGCTTGAGGAAAGGAAGAATTAGATGGAACATCCAGAAGAAGCAAGTCCTCCTCTTCCTCCTCTTCCCTCTGATGGAATGAGCTTACTGTTGCAAAACCAATAGGATCTATAAGTTCAAGGCAATGATTGTGATTGGATGGCAATTTCGGACTGTAAGAAGAACCGTCATTCTTTATTGTGTCATTTCTGCCCCTATTTGTCGCCGTTTTCTGACTCTTTATTGCAGCATTTCCATCTAAGAGCCCAAAAAAAGTTACATCTGATGTAATCACAATTTGGAAGGTAGGACGAAAGAGGATATAAGAGAAATGAAGCAAAAATATGAATATCAAGAATGCAATATTTGGGCCAATCAAAATATACCCATCAACATAAAAAAAATGAGCCATCACAATTTTTTGGGGACAAGAAGCTTTTGAAACATGACATTTTTTTGACCAGGGGATTATTATATATGGCTCGAGGAGAGAAATGCATACCTGAATCATTTGGAAGGTGTCCATCTTGTGGTTGTTTAATATCATTGGTTCCAACAACTGTGGACTCGGTCCCGTTGCTAATCTCTTCACACTTAACATCCTGAAAAGTTGTTAATACAAGGTCATATATAAGACCGTAGGGCCCTCAAATGGACTGGTGCAATATGACAACCGTCCTTGGTGTCAAAAGAACCAGGCTCTTAATTCATACACCGTAATCTTATACTCCCCATGTCCCAAAATTAAGTTCCCACTCTTCTTTTCGGGACATCCCATAATAAAGCTCTCACTCTTTTTAAGAGGAAGCAAAAGAAAAAACGAACAGTTATAAGCAGTAGCAACTATCAGTGGAAAAATAAGAGGTTAATTAATTAAAGAACGAACAGTTATAAGCAGTATCCTTTGTGTTTAAAAACAACAACAAATCCAGTAAAATACCACATAAAGAAGGGAGACATTGCTCCTACTCAGAAGTCGAGAGGTTTTCAAGAGTCTCTGGACGTAAAAGACATTTGGAAATTACCTGTAGATCTATATAACCCAATGGTGAATCAAGATGAGCTAGAATTGGCAGCTCTTCAAGCTGATCCTTATCCCTGAAACTAAAAAACAAGCTACTAAGATGCATATATTTGCATGGATTTAGAAACCATTCTTAAGCCAAAAAAAAATGAAGGTATATGAGAAGGTCAATGTCACAAACACACCACAGATGATACCAAGGTTGACATTGTCGGTGTTTCACAAACAAAAATTTCTCAGAACTGTTTGTGCGTGAGTCGTGACTGTGAGTGATCAGTGATGATGTCAACCTTGGTGTCATCCTTGGGGTTGAAGTAGCATTTTGCATATAATGATTAGTGTCTGCTTGCCAACAATTTCAACGTTTATCTTTAGCATTTTGAAAAGACCATCTAATGACAATGTTTAGCTTTATCATTTTTAAAGTTAATCTGCACCATCAAAAAAATAATCCAAAATGCCAACACTAATTGAAAATGTTGTTCCCAAACAGTTACCTCTTCATCAGCTCTTGATCCATTCCTTGTCCAAATGGTTTCTTGATTCTTTCGCTTCCCGTGGTTGGCATATTTACAGAAAGCACCTTGTTATCAACAGAAAGAGAGCTCGCCTCGGACTCCTCTTCCCCTCCTTCTATTGAGCTTGGATGCCGGATGAGAACACCCCCATGTCCTATCTCAACTGAAACCATTGGTCTATCACTCTCAAAAAGCAAATCATCTTCACAAGATCTGGAGATGCAAGAAGCCGATTGCTGTTCATGTAAGA